CCCCAAAACCCCAAAACCCCAAAACCCCAAAACCCCAGGTTAAGAAATTTTCATTGAATCTAATTGAGTAGAAGTCCATCAAGATTTTGGATCTCAATTTTGAGCATCTTGATAAGGTCTTTACGAGGATACTTCTTCATGTTATTGCTAAACTGCTCGAGAGCAGATTCACAAAACTCCAGTTTCTTGTTAGATTTCACTTTGAAGACTCCAAAGTTCTCTAGGAGCTTCATGTGCAGATACCTGATAGATTTGTCTCTTTTGAGAAGATCTCTCTGGTTCTGCTCCAAAGACTTGGAGTTGTACATATTTTTGAGTAAGTTCTCGATGACCTTCATGTACTTCTTGTAGTTTGTCTCGGAGCCATACTCATGGTAAAAATGCTTATCACTCATGGTCTTTATAATTGTGTAGCAGATACTTGCGTAAAGAGAAACATCAGTGATTAGAGCAAATTTTTTACCTGATTTTGCAGACTCCTTCTTTTGGCCTTTATCTAAGCCAAATTTTTGGTATACCTCTTCTAGTTTCTGAATATCAACAGTGAGCTTAGTGCTCTCGTTCATAGCATGAAGGGTGTTAATGTTGTGCTTTGTCCAGAACTCATATAGAGTTCCCTTGACAAATTTCTCAACATAAAGTTTGTTTCTGATGTAAACAAAGTATTTGAGCTTCTCATCTTCTTCGATCGCATGGTCAGCCTTCTTGCTAATTTTTATGAGATGTTGCGCAACCAGATTATCGAGAGAATTGATGAAGCTCACAGATTCTTGGTTAAATTTATTTTTGAAATGGGAATATAACTTTCATATGAAATTCATGGTAGACTCTTGGTAGAATTCATTATTAAAGTTATACTTGGAAAAGGATTTTGATTCTTCGATAGGAGCTTTATTTCCCGATATCAACACCTTCTGGAATGGTATCTAATTCAAAATCCTGGGATTGGGCTTCGTCTTTATCAGGACTCTGTCTTGATGACTTTGTTATAAAAGTAGCTTCGCTGGAGAAAGTAAGCCTTGATTCACTAATGTCATCTATTTTGTGTTGTTCTCCAACTGAAATCTCAGTACTATCTAGAACAGATTTTGCAATATCTATATCTCCTTTTCCTCTTTTGCATTGTTAGAAGATTTCTCAGCTTCTTCTGGTATCTTTAGAGCATCTATCTTTTGTTTAAGGTTTAGTAGAACTTCATAAACACCTTGGTGTTTGATTTCTTCATCAGGATCATTAAAAGTTTCAATCTTATCAGTAAGAACTCTTGGTGCTTTATGCAATGGATTTACCATTGGAACTCCTTGCACAAAGGAGTTACCAGACCGTATCCCTAGCTCATTGATGCTCTTCTTATGCTCAATAAATCCAGGCTGGTAAAAGCTATTTATTTCTAGTAAAGATACGAGTTTCTTCACATATTATTTGGAGAACACCGATGTGATGAAATAGAGCTTGAGTTGATACGATTAGGTCAACTAATTGTACGTCTCCAAGGTCGTGTGTTGATTTGTATCTTTGAATAGCCTTCTCTATTTCCTCTTGAAGCTCTCTGTTACCGTGGTGAAGGTAGAGAACAATTTTAATTTGAGGAAAGCAGTAAGCTAGCTTAACAAGAGATGAAACATACTCCAATACCAAGTGTTCACCATTACTTTGGCTATGCTTCTGAATCTTACCATGTTTTTTACCTCTGTCACCTGAATTAAATGTGCTGGCCTAACAAATTCTTCAAATAAACACTTACACAGTAAGTCAATTTCTATGATATCTTCTTTGGTGGGCAATCAGCATTCAAGGTCAAAGATACCTCACAGTTCAAAAGCTCTTCTAGTAGCCATTAAATTTATATAGTTAACCTTCAACTTAATATTTTTTGTTTGGGGTTTTGGGGTTTTGGGGTTTTGGGGTTTTGGGGTTTTGGGGTTTTGGGG